AATGAGGACCCAGATTGTTGGGGGCAATGTAAATATATATATACATTGCTTACTGGTGTACACCGCTTAGAGAGTGCTTGCACTTAAAGCGGTATATAAGTCTCATAAATAATAAGAATAAAACTTAATACCCTCAGAACTCATCCGTTTCTACATAGCAATCCCAGTTCTCATTGAATGGAGAGAACTGGAGAAATGAACTTTTTGTTTATCTAGCCTAGCATTATTTATTGGCAGCAGTTCTCCAGGAATCAAGCTGAAATTTTCCTAATCATTTGCTCCCTGATCTTTTAAATGAAAGCAGGAAAAATCAAACCTGAGTCCTTCTGTATAACAGCATGTCTACCAATGACCTATAATTCCTCCTTGCAGAGTAACCTCCCAGCTCTGGGAGCAATTAGCTCACCAATGAGCTATTGTCTTTTAAATTGTAATAAACCCTAAATATAAGCAATCCTTGTCAACCACTTTATTCCTCTGTGTTTTTTTCCTTTTATTAGTCCTACTCCTTGGAGCAGGAACCTGTCTTGCTGCATTTTTGAAATATTATCTATAGCACTAAATAAGTAAAAGCAAAAGCAATCACTTTATATCTTAGCAGATAGAGAAAAGAATTTCTTACTTCAATAATTACATACATGCATTCAACTTCATAAAAACTTTTAACTGATTCATTAATTTACTTCCCTTTATTCAGGTTATGTGCTTCAAAAATATGGATTCGCCACGAGTTAGTAGCAAAGAAATACAGAATAGAATTTTTTTAATAGCTCGTATCTTATTTGGAAAATTATATTTGGAAAATTATTGCAACAGTTTTTTTAATACAATAAAAAAGATAAAAAAGTAGAAAGGAGTTTTTGGTTGTATTTTAAAACATATTTTAACTTGAGTAATCTTTCCTTTATGATCCAATCTGTAAATGGAAGCTTACAAAAAGCTTCATTCATCCATGCTACCATATTTACCAGAAAGTTTAATTAGTTATATTTGATTTAATTCTAAGTTAAAACACCTTCCCCAGCATGATTGTCTTTAAATGACTTGAACTGTAGCTGTTATCCACTATGGATATGCAGATAAAATATACTCACACACATACAAACCATCACATGATTCTCTTTCAAGATAAACAATGTTATGCATAGCTCTGGAAAACAGTATATAATATTGAGCAAAACAATTAAAGGTGGGAAGTAAGAGAAAAAGAAATTTAAGAGAAAGAAATTTAATTAAATCTAGCTTAAAACAATGCCATTCCCTTGACAAACCATCCTTGGTTACACTACATCAATTAAATTAATCATATACTGCCTTTGCTTTCCACAAAATTGGGCTCCATAAGAGAAAGCAGAATTTCTTTATTATTACCGTATCTAGTGATCATCTGGATTACTATAGCCAAATGTGACAGCCCTGGTTCTCACCTTTCTCTTTTTGAAAATCTTGTCAACTTTGTCCAGCTGTATTCTTCTTCTGTGTCTTCCCCATGCTCAAGAATAAATAAAAAGGCTTTCTACTAGTAATTCCTCAATAAGTAAAGACAGAGATAAATGGGCAGAAATCTGCAATTATGAGCAATAATGCTTATGTTTGTGCTCCAGCTTGAAAACAATGTGGCATATAATTGAATATATAAAAATTTGCAGTAGTGCAGTCCTTGTAGAAAAAAAATCAAAGGACCATAACAGTGAATAGCCTCATATTAGCTTCTGAGGAAGACAATCACAAAGGGAACCCTCCTAGAGTAACAACCAGAATAAAGAAATATAGAATATACTCTGCACTTCTGGAACCCAGAAACAGTTTCCAGGCCCTGACAGATAAAACAGTTCTGAATTTGAGGGGTGAAAAAGAGGATGCAGAACAGGCGACATAATAGATCCTTAAAAAATAGAGAAGATGAAATTAAACTCCATCAGAAAGTGAAGAGACATGATAGCTACTAAGACATTGCTATCTGGAAATGAAATAAACATTTACTGATGAAACTCATATGTCATGGACTGTGCTATTTGCTGGGAGCAGAGACTCAAGAATGTAACAACACAACATTCAAGACTTACCACTGGATGAGTTCAAGTGAAGAGTAGACAGGCATTTGTTGGGATACTATAATTTAGTATATATTTACCAAATTTATAGTATAAATATAAATATACAAATTCCTTTGCTGAGCAGAAATGGGATCTTTTTATAACTTTATTATTCTATGTGCAAAAAGACAATATTAATAGAAGCATACAGTCTCTGACTTATCAAAATAAAAAGTCCACAAAATAGTAGAGCATTGCTAATAATCTATGTCAGCACAAATCGCTGTATTTTGCCATAATTGAGCCATAGAGGAGGGTATCCAAAGTCACCCTAGGGCAAAACATGCAAAACTAAGTTTACCTAACTATGAAAAATATGTTGTCCTGAATTTCTAAGATGCACTGCAGGGGGCTGGGGTTCTACCTGTTTCCCGTTCCCCCAACACTGACTGAAAGCCACATACAAAGGAGAACTACCACAAAACAGGGTTTCCGAATCCCGGCCCAAAAAATCTGTCCAGAAGATACCAAGATCCAGGTATTGAAAGCCACTGAGCAATCCAGGAGAGCCCAGGATAATTGCACCATCCAAGTTCTGAGCTCTGCAAAGATCATCAGTAAGTATATACATTAAGAATTAAGACAAAAAATCAGACTATAATTTTCTTCTGTTTCATAACTATGATGTAGTTTTTGAACAGTGAATTAAACCTAAACAATATGGATTTGCCCCAAATAAGAGGCAAAACTAACAGTATAAATTATTATATAATTCATAAGGAGGCTCTCTGCTTGGTCACTCATGCTCTGTGGCCATCTCCTGTTTGGACTATTGCAATGTGCTTTACGCAGGACTATCCTTGAAAAATATTTGGAAGCTTCAGCTAGTACAAAATGCTGCCACATGGACAATCTTTGGACCAAAGAAATGGCACATGTAACACCTCTGCTGCGCAACCTGCATTGGGTGCCAGTTTGCTTCTAGGTCCAATTCAAGGTATTAGGACCGTTAAAATCCTACACAGCATGGGGCCAGGTTACCTACAGAACTGTCTTCATACAGCTACATCAGTCCTTCCCATTGCAGACTGTGGAAACTTCAGATTGCAAACATAAAATAAATATTAGGATGGTCCATTATAATTTCAAATTGTACCTTAGCAACTGGTCCTTCCCACCCAGTTAGGCAGTGAAGATATGTTGCAGACCCTATCAACCAAAGAATTCTAACTGGTGGAGTCCAGAAGTCTTCTCTGTCATTGCCTTCACCCTGTGAAACATGTTTCCTCCCAGGTGAGGTGGGCTTCCATTCTCTTTAACTTTTGTAGTCCAGACAAAAAACACATTCAGAAGTACTATATTTTTATTGTAAGCTTACCTTAATAGATCTCGCAAGTCTGAAAGTATGCCCCCCCTTGCCCTTGTAGTCCAAGAAACTAGAGAGAGTCCCTTTTGAGAGGTTTGCCATGCTCCCATTCCTTCTGCATGCTCAGCTCGCTCTTACCCGACCATTGACAAGTCTGTGATTCATCCTCCTGTCTTCCAAAGTCATTCCTAAGGTCAGGGGTGTCAAACTGCCGGCTCGCGGGCCGGCCGGACGCATCATGTGGAAACTGCGCCCACCCCATTGCCAGCAATGGCAAAACCGGCCTGATACATTGCGCGACGTCACATGACGTCGCGTGTTTGACATGCCTGAATGAGGGGACTTCTATTTAGTTTGGGAGCAGGGATTCCCTTGGATTATTCTCCAATGTTTTGCCTTAATATTTTTATTCTCACAATCTAGTCCTTTTTTAAAATAAAGTCAGTTTTATAGTATACAGTTTTTATACAATAGTAATGTAGCTTTATTTTTATTTAGGATTTATTAACCTTTTCCTTCTTCAATGAAGCTTAAAACAATAACAAAATTAAAAAATAGGATACAAACTGTAGAAAAAAGAGATCCAATCCTTTATATAAACCCACATTTACAGACCACTCAAAAGAAACAATACAAAAAACTAAAAAGAAAACAAGAAGATCAGAACATATCTTCCCCAGCAAACAAAACCCAGATAAGCAAGGATTAATACCAGACAAGCAATCAAGCAAAGTACAATATCCTAATCAAGGAATTAAGGCAAAAACCACACCTCCACCAACACTGGCAGGGCAGCTCCTGTATATAAACAGGCAGCAAACCCCATGCTCTCTAGCACTGATGATGTTACTAATCAAATAATGAAATATCTGCAAGTAGCAAGCAACCAACCTCAGAGAGCACTAGGACTCCATAGCCAATGTCTCCTTTCAAATCCAGTAGGTCAAAAAATAGTTAAGATACCTGTTAAGTGATTATCTACTACCATCTTCAGTCACACATTTCCTTGGCTTCAAATGCCCTCATGAAAACAGTAGCATTCTGGAAAGTAGGTGTTATGCTAAACAAATAGTAAAGATTCTTCAAAGTAGATTAAAGATAAGCACAGTAAAAAAATGAGTATGTTCAATTGTTTGGATACAGCATACATCTACACTTGTAGATTATATAAGGAAATAGGTATATTTCCTTATAAGAAATAAACGTTAAGAAACAAAATGCAAAAAACCTCACCATTTATTATAGTAATAAATACATTCAACATCAGGAGAACTTTGAATATTTTACTGCACAGAGATCCTCTGAAATCCTCTGTATTGTTTAAAACTCATCTAGGGCTTAAGACCTGATCTCTTAGCATGTTAACAGGGACACCTCTAAGCACCTGCAAACTGCATTTATATCACTACGGCCTATCTCCCTATCTCTAGATAATAAATAAGGTGCTCAGGGTGTAGGAATGTAACTTCTAGAGCAACGTTAGCTTTTGAAACAGGCTTTCCCACCCTCGGGTTCTGCTGAGACTCGGGACGCCAAGCCCTAACAGCTAAGCCCCCTTCCTTTCTCCCACCACTCCTCTGCAAGCCAGAAACACTTACAGCGTGTGTCCGCAAACGTTGACCATCAGCTTGAGAGAAGGGTTCCTGTATTTGGTGGTCTTGCACCGGGGGCAACCTTGGTCATCCATGGCAGCAAGCTTTCGACTAAATTTGCCGCCGAAGACGCTGCTACCCTCATTCCAGAAAGGCGGCGTCCTACCGCTAAAATCGACCGTCTGGCTCTCTAGCGAGGAAAGAATCGTTCCGCTGTGCAGCAGGAGTAAAAAAAACCTTTAAGTATCTTGCGCCCTTTTGCTAATCACTTTGCGTGTGCTTTGAAAAAAGAAAGCGGATGAGAAGCGGGGAGGGCAAATTTGAAGCAAATTTCCTCAGCAGGTATTTAACCGTAATGTGAAACACTGTTATCCATGCTTACTCGGAAGTAAGTTCCATTCATCCGATGGATTTATTTCATTAAAAAAGCAGCTTCAATGCTTACAAAAGCGCCACTTGCGGCTTTAGAGCTAACATCACTTCACACGATTCCTTTCCCTTGGGACTTGCAGGAACTACTAGAGACAGCAACCGCAATAGCATTAGGAAAATCATATAGTAACAGTGGAATATGCTTCCTAATTCGATATATACCTTCCAAAAGTGAAAACCTCAGTATCTTCAGTGAGTGAGCAGTGGATCACTTACAACAAGACCCTACGCATAAAATTATTCATAAGTAAGTCTTCTGCATTGCATTGAATAGCATTTATTCCCCCTCAAATGTCTCTGAAATAAACCTGAAGCCTGTTGATGGGTTCCTATCACTTCGTTCCATTTTGTTTTGATACTGTAGGTCCTTCATAAACATAGCCCATTGATTTCAATAGTATTTACCCAAATCATTGACGGCTATTTTGGGTCTAGAGCGACTCTCAAGGATCGTATTGGAAACCAGTTTTTACAGACACAATCGAAGTAAATGTTCAAGAAAAGTTGCATTAGTCAGCACGACTCTAAAGCAAACATTGCTTCGTTTAATACTGTTTTGCGAAATCTCACTGGAAGAGAAGCACATAAATATTTCTTCAATAAGTATGCATAAAGAAGGAGACCCAGGGTTCCTTCATGTGCGCTTCTTTGGGATGAAATGAATGTGGCCATTTGTCCTAGCTCAAATTTACGTCTGAGGAAACATATATAGGGATCAGGCTACAAGTCTATCAGTGTTTTTGGCTTGGAGGAATGAATGAAGTTGGTAATGACATTGGCATTTATTTTCAAGCAAGAGAAGTATCCAGATAGTGGTGATGTGCAAGTGATGGTGCTGGAAAAGGAAAGGAACTGACCTATAGAACGACAGTGCAGCTTGATTGAAAGAAGCTGGCCAGGGATTCCTGGAAGTTTCTGAGTGAAGATTCTCACTGCACAGGCTTATACCTCCGAACCCCAGAGAGTTAGTTAATACAGTTGTGAGTCTCTCTTTGAGGTCAGACGAATGGAAGATTGGTATATAGATGTGCTTGGGGCCACTGAGACAAAGTCTAACTCATCCCAAGATTCCGGAAGTCTTCTTAAAAGCAAAGCCCATTGCTTATTTCCATTGAAATTAAACTAATTGAAAAATGTACCCACTTAGATGCTTCGTCTATCTAATTTGAGTTTTCTTTTTGAATGTATGGGATGGCTTCTGACATCACATTAGACTCTGACTATAGAATAAGCTTGGATTCGTATTAAATGGTGCGTGCGTGTGTGTGTGTGTGTGTGTGTGTGTGTGTGTGTGTTTTCAGAAAAGCCGGAGCTTCCATCGCACCGACATCCAAGTCACCGTCGACTATTATGGTCAAGGGCTGCCAGGCTCGAAGAGGACCGTATTGATTTCGTCAGCCAATTGGAGTAGAAGCGTTCCGAGACCGAGGTGGACGTACGGTAGATTTCTAGATTTAGACCCCCATCCTCCAGCTCCGTCCCTTAGCACAATTGCTCCCATGCCCGGACTTGCGCCTGTACAAATTGGCCACGTAAATTGCGCTGTACATGGCTCCAAAACTCCGGATAGCCGCTGAAAGACACAAAGGAGCTAAGAGTTGTCTGTATTTCCTTGTTGCCGTTTAGAGGTTACCCCAGCTCTGTATGGACTGAAGACAGTGACTCCTTACCACCTGCCACTCGGCTCCCGCGTCCGATGGTGAGCAAATACAGTAACTGAGTTCCGGCCGCTGAAACTCCAGCAGACCAAAAACGGCTCTGCTTTCATTTCCTTAAGGCTGAAAGCCTTGGGGGGGGGAGGTATGCCTAAGCACCAAGCCGGTCGTTCCACCTGCCTTGACTGTATTTGCCTGGGGTTCCCAAATCTAATTGCCCAGATGTAAACCGGGCATTCGGCTGCCTGCAAATGACTGACAGTGACTGAGCCATTCTACCCCTATATCTGTTCCCTTTCAGCGTCCCGGCAGCCAGATGTGTGGAAAAGGAAACTTGTTTCAGTCAGTCCTAGTTGCTTCTGAGCGACCGTTCTGCTCTAAACTTTTACATAAAAATATGTAAAAGGGTTTACCCAAAACCACTAACTCGGATTTAATTTTATTTTTCGGGACCAAAGAGGATCAACCATGCTGGGAGAGACATCTCCAGGCAGGTTAGAAGATCACTCCGATCAAGTTACAGAGGTATTAGGAATGCGGGGCGTGCATGTTGTTGAGGGCATAGATGCAAAGGAGCCTGGAACACACAGGTGATCCTTATAATACCCTTCTACTGCACTGGTTTGTAGGCACATCTCAAAAGTAGGATGTTTGCACTGAACCTCAAACCAGCCACACATCATTTTACACCTGATGTAGCTGTGATCCCGACTGTGTATGGTAACGTGATTCGAGGCTGACAAAAATCATTAACCTGTAATGCGAAGGCAAGCTAAGGTTGAGCCCGATGTCTGAAACAGGCTAAGGTTGAGCCCGATGTCTGAAAACAGCTTCTTCGAAGGTGATCCCGTTCTGATCAGGTCGGTAATGGGATTGTGCTTCCTATCCCTATTTCCCTATTTCCTCACCACAGCAAAGCCCGATTGTGGGGACTTCCCCGAAGTCAGCTGAGAAGTGCAAGTGCAGCTTGTTAAACCCTCATAATAGATTCAATCCACCTTGAAAGAAAGAGTTTCCATTTACAGAGAAAAATAAATTTCAAAGCTTCCCATCTTGATTCAGATTTCTTAAAACTTCCTGAATGCCTTATGAAAAAGAATGATATATTTATTAAATGTATTGCCACCCATCTCACTGTTAAGAGACTTTGGGTGTCTTATAAATATAATGCTACCTATAATGCTACCTACCTTGAGGAAATGGCAATAAAACTCTGAAATCCCAGCTCAGATTAGTGCCCTTCCAAAGAGCTGCAAAAGTTGTGTGGCTTGGCAGCGATGCTCAAAAACCAGATATGGCAGATTAAGATTCTCCTCACCCCATCCCCAAAACCAACCAGTACATTGATGCCTTGAATCAAAAAAGTTGCTTTAAAATAATTACATACCTTAACATTGCATTCTCCAATGTGTGTGTTGTGATGTTTCCCCCCCCCCCCCCAGGCAAGTCCCACTAAATTAAATGGGATGTGTCTTCATATAGCATACAGTAGTGTTGCTTGTGGAATATTGTTGCCTATTCCAACAATGGAAGAGAAATATTTGTATCTATTGATCCCCATGTCCTAGTCTGTGATGCTGAGGTGGACTAAAAACAGGTCATCCTAAGTGTTCTAAAACAAAGATAATGCCTGCTGTCATAAAAAGACTGCAGAAATAGCCTCATAGGAAAGAAACCATGAACAAAATAGTCTTTATCAGACTTTTTCATTTTCTGTTGTTCCTGTAGAAATCTATCAAGAACATCTTCTGGATGAGTCAGACCTCACCTGCACTTACTCAGCAATAAATCCAATGGTTTTAATTGGATTTACACCTAAGTAAACAGCCCTACAATTACACTCTTGTAATGTAGATCCAATCTCCTTTTTTGGCTTAGGCTTCCCCAGGCTGGTACTCTCCTAATGTATTGAACCATGAAGGCCATCATCCATAGTCAAAAATGGCTACAGCAGTTGAAAAATGTTCATAGTCCAGAAAAGAGAAAGCTTGGAAACTTTGTTAGTGGGTAAAGATGAAAGCTTAAACACACAGATCTGTGTATGCAAAATCTTGGAATCAATGGGGCTTCCCACTGAGCAAAGGTACATAAAAGTGAGGTTTAATTCCATTGAAGATAAACAAGCTTTTGGTAGAATGCAGGCAGGATTGGATCTGGAGAGCCAAAGTAAGTTTATTCCAAAAAAGTTCAGCTAAAATTCACTCATTTCAAGAGAATTGATTCTCATACCAGCATCCTTAGCATTATTCATTTCAGAATTAAGAAAAATTCTGAGAATCAAATAGCTCAGAGAGTATTGTAAAATTAACAATCAAACCATCCCATTCCATTATATTCTAATTCTACTCTACTGGGTTGTCCTTCTCAACCCAGAATCCTCTAGAAAGCTGGAGCTACATCCTCATATTTCTCAGACAGCATCGCCCAGGTTGCTCTGAAGTCTTCTTTCTGATATCAAGACAACCTTTGTTTATATCTTTCCCATATTACTTTCCCATTAAGAAGGAGTGCTTCTTACTCCTTCCTAGAAGAGCAATTGGGATTTTACCACTAGTTGTTGATTCTACTGAAAGGTGAAATGTTTTTGTAAATTAATGATGACATTTATAGTAAAGTGTAATTGATAATTTCCTGGAAACACAGAGAGCATTGTGAAAATGCTTACCTTCTTGTCTTGTCTAGTCAGAAGTCCCATTATGTGTTCTGTGAATCCAGTCACAAAGTGTTTATACTTTGACTACATGGTGCTCAATCTCTTATTGATTTGTTATTGTCATTTGGTTTTAATTATTGTTTATTCAGATGACTGTACATAAGATATTTATTTAAAACAGTCCAGCAACCCTACACCTTTCATACCCATGATCCCTCTAGGTATTTTAGATTTTAATTCTCACCCAGAATTATGGGAATGTTTATCCAGAAAACCAGCTGTGGAAAGTTGATCTATCCCACCACTTTTTGGAATATATTTGTTCTGTACCAAGTTACTGTTCCAACATATCAGGACATGCTTTTGTTCATACTTGATTATTTATCATTCACTAATATGTAGCTATCACCTATACTTGTTTAATGCCAACTTTGTGCTAGGCCATGTACATTATGGCTAATATTATGATTTATAATTGAAGAGCTTTCAGTTTATTTGCCCATAAAACATTTAAAGACATGGTGTAGAACAGACATGTCAAACACAAGGGGGGGGGGAGATGCGGCCCGGGAAGTGGTTTCACGTGGCCTGCGAAGCCACCCTGGAAACAGTGAGGGAACAGCCCCCCCCCTGCCTTGGCCCTGGCCCAGGTTGGCCGGGAGCCAATGTACAATTTTGTGGTAGCCATCTATGCTGAAATGCATTCAGTCTTAGCTCCACAAGGCAGTCTGGAAACAGCAAGGAACCAGCCCCTGCCGTGTCAGCCCCACCCCCTGGGTGCATGCTGGGAAGGTGTCACCCTTTGTGAGGAATGAAGAAATGCACCATCGTCTGGAAGTGGCCAGCAAATGGCCCTCGCCTACTTCACATATCCGGCTTGATGGGCTCTGCTCTGGTCCCATCCTTCTGCCAGAGACCCTCAAATCTGTCCCACTCCTGCCCAGGCCCCCACAGGCCCCCTTGACATGAATGATGTAGAGCTGGCCATGTCCACCCAGTAGGCCACACCCACTCCATCCATTCCCACCCAGTAGGCCACACCCACCCTGGCCACACACCCCCAGGGCAACTGCAATGCTGATGCGGCCCTCAATGAAATTGAGTTTGACACCCCTGGGGTAGAAGAATGGAAAAAGACTGAACTCCTGTGGCTCTGGTCCTATAAACTCAATATTTCTGAGAAATTAAAGTTATAATTCTATCAAATGCTGACCTGGAAGTAAACATAACTGAAGAATTTGCATCTAAGGAAAAGTTAATATCAGTAGCCAGCTCTGAAGAAAAAAAAGTGCAGAAAAAGCAATTACCCTTGACAAATCTTTCTCCCTCATCAGTTGTCATCTGTAAAATGGGTATATACCAATCACATTTCATATAACTGTTATGGAAATGAATACATTTTTTAAAACTGAATTTGAATCCTAAGCACAAATTCAAAGTAATTAGAAATAAATCTCAACGTGTTCAGTTCCTTCCTTTCAGTTAGGATCCTTGTCTTCTAGTACTGAGTCTGAGCTTACACATCTGGATGTTATCTGCCAAAAATGTCTTATTGGTTTTTGGGGCAGAAGAATCCTTCTTTTGTTTGTTTGTTTAAGCAACAAAAGCAACAGAGCAAGTCTAGGCACTTACAAAAGAAAGTCCCATTGAGTTCAGTAAAGTTTATTCCAAGATAAGAGTGCCTGCTTAAAGCTGCAGTCCAATGTGAAGTTCCACTGAACTCAAACAAGTATGCAAATGCTTGCAATCATAGCGTGAATAAATCGAACTGGCTTCTCTCCAAAGTAAACTCGCTCAGATTTTCAAACTTCTGCGAATCCCAGTGGGTTCACTGAAACTCAGTACCAGCATTGCAGCCTTAATCCGCTGATCAGCTGACGCGCATTGTGTCTCTGGCGCAACCTGAAGTTGCATCTCTACTCCATCGCTGCCCGGTACTGGTTCTCCGTTCAGAACTGCCCAATCGGAGTACAGTCAATTCATTTGAAAATTCCCAAAAATTGGATCGTGCGCCCGTGCGTTTAAATGTCTCTCCTACAAAGTGTAAAAACAAAACTGCCCACACAGCGAGCTTAAGATATCAGTATTAATATTTTGTTTGGCAACTGGAGCGGAGAGAAACGAGAGCACGGAGCCAAATCAAAACGCAGCATAAGCCTCCAGGTAGAGGTATTTCACATTTAGAGGAGGAAGTCGAGTTGAGCATAAAGCCGAGAGAGAGGGAGGAGTTGATTGACGGTTTCTATAGAAACACCAGATCCTCCGCCCCCCCACAGGAGTCGGCCAATCAGCGATCCCTCTCGAATCCAGCCGACTGCTTGCGCTGTGAAGAATATGTAGCAGGAGAGAGAAGGGCTGAGGAGTCACGTTGGGGAGGGAAAGAAGGAACGAAAGAAAGAACGAAAAGGAGGGGGAGAGGAGAGCGGCTGGCAGGGGGGGAAAGAAACCCCGATCCGTTTACACGAGCTTTGCTAGAACAAGCTGTCTTAATGGTTACTACGTGGCGGAGGGGAAACTTGATCAGCTAAACGCCAGCCGGGTGGCGGTCCGGGAAGAGGAGGAGGAGGAGGAGCGGCGGCGGCAGCAGCAGCAGCAGCAGCAGCAGGAGGGGTGTGTGAGCACTTTCCGGGGAGGGGGGTGTAAAAGAAGAAAAAAAAGGGGGGGGGAGAAAGCCGGGGGAGAAGCCCCTCCACCTAACACCAAACGCAGACGGGGGGGGGGGGAGATGTCTTCTGTCTCTCCCACTACCGCGATTCCCAGCGTGGTAGCGACGATCAAGCAAGAGAACGTATTGGAAATGTTCTGCGGCGGGGTGACGGAGAAGGTAACCTCGGACGGCTCGGCTCCCGCGTCTGCACCACCTTCCGGACTTGCAGCGGCAGCTCCTTTTGCAAGGAAGGAAGAAGCCGGGGAAGAGGAGGACGACGAGGAGGAAGCAGCCGGTCGGGTTGTGGGTCAGGTTCTACTCCACTCGGAACTTTTGGGGCGGAATCCCGGCGCTGTTGCCGCCGCGTCTCCCTTGTCCTTGGCTTCGCCTCGGTCCTCCTCCTCGTCCTCGTCGTCGTCTTCCACCTCGCCCCAAGCTCTGCTCGCTTTCTCCCCGGACCACGTCGCTTGCGTCTGCGAGGCTTTGCAGCAAGGCGGGAACCTCGACCGCCTGGCCCGGTTCTTGTGGTCCCTGCCCCAGAGCGACCTGCTACGTGGCAACGAGAGCCTGCTGAAAGCCCGGGCGCTGGTGGCTTTCCACCAGGGGCTGTACGCGGAGCTCTACGGGATTTTGGAAAGCCACAGCTTCGACGCCGCCAACCATCCTCTCCTGCAGGAGCTCTGGTACAAGGCGCGCTACACCGAGGCGGAGAGGGCCCGCGGCCGAGCCCTGGGCGCCGTCGACAAGTACCGCCTGCGCAGGAAGTTCCCCCTGCCCCGCACCATCTGGGACGGCGAGGAGACGGTCTACTGCTTCAAGGAGAAGTCGCGCAATGCCCTCAAGGAGCTCTACAAGCAGAATCGCTACCCTTCCCCGGCCGAGAAGCGCAACCTGGCCAAGATCACCGGCCTCTCGCTCACGCAGGTCAGCAACTGGTTCAAAAACCGGCGGCAACGGGATCGCAACCCCGCGGAGCCGCAGTCCAAAAGGTGAGAGACGCGTGTTCGCGGGAACGGCTCCCTGGAGCCTGCAACTTCCACGAGAGCGGAGCGGGGCGGGGGGGCGGCGTGGCGGGAAGCAGAGCGGCTTCTGTGTCTGGAGATTCGCCGCGTAAATTCCGTGGAGAAAGGAAACTCACTGCACATGTTCGGAGTGCTCTGTACATATGCTTTAAACGTTGAAACAAATTCTGTTGCCCCCCCTTCCCAACAATGACTCTAGGCAGCGAACTGAAGTTTAAAACTAGAACAGAGTGCAAAATAACAGAAGCAATGTACCATATGTAGGAAATCTAAAATCATTTCACTACTAGATTAGACTGACCAACCTCAGGGTCCATTTAACCTGCTGGGGGAACAACCAAGCTTTAAGGCCTTGTGAAAAGCCAACAGGGTCTGAAATGGCCAGCATGGTTAGCAGATAGAATCATGGTGAGAGTGAGCATGAGTCCCATCCTTTTCTGAGTTTAGTAAATTCCACACTTCCCTTGGTTTACATCCCCTGTATCTCCGTCCATTGCTTCTGCTATCTTCTCTAACACTTGATTTCTGGCTTTCATTGGAGGGATAATCCTCCTTTGGCTTATGCCATCTCTTCCTTTGCTGGCTTCCTGCCATCTGGGTCTGGATTTCAAAGTGCTTCCTATATATTCTCGGTAAGCCTCACAACATCCCTGCAGTGCAGGACATCATTATGATCCTTCCTGTATTGTTGGCTGAGGTTTCTGGAGTGCAAAACAGTGCATTCCTCAAGGCTTCCTATGGAATTTGGGGCCCTGGCAAGATTAAACAACATGGCTCCAAGGAAGGCACCTGGTTTGTTGCTTCTGCTGCTTTCCCAAACTCTGTCCTTGGGCCTCAATTCCTAGGCCTCCCAGCTGCCCTCCTTCTGCCCTCCTGCTTTCTAACCTCCTGCTCTGGCTTTGTTTCATTTCCATCAGAGCAATTTGCCTCAATCTAACACCTTGCTTCTTTCTTGCTCTTCCTGTTCCCCTCCCCTCTTGTCTGCCTTTCTCCCCTCTTCCCCCTCCTTTGCCCTCTATCCTTGCCTGGCTTTCATTGCTAACAAATATGGCGCTTACCTTCAGCAGCCCCTTTCTTTCCAGTCTCCCACTTCCCAACAACCTTGCTTTTCTTTTCCACGTTGCTGCTTCTTAGGTTGCTGGATTCAGGGAAGGGATTGTTGGCTGCAAACTAAAAGGTTGTTTGATCCTTTAGACATAATTTTCTCTCCATCCTCTCTCACAATCTGTCTCCAAAATCTCCACCCCCATTTTTCAGCTCTGGTTTCTCCTTGTAATCTTAAAAAAAGAAAGAAAGAAAATCTATGCCTGGGGGCATAGCTTCCCCAGACTTTCTGAAACCTTCCTCTCCCTAATCCTCAAGAGTTCTTTGTAGCTCAGATCTTCTTGGGTCTATTGTTTACGCCCAAGATTTGTCCTCTTTCTGCAAAAAATTAAAAACTTTGTACCCCCTGGTGCTTTGTCCCAAGCATCTCATTGCCAGGCTCTGCAACATAGCCTTATTCCCTGCTATATGTCCAGCCTAGTATTTTGGGTCTACCTCTGACAGAAGGAAGGCCTTTTCTCTAGGTCTTCAGCCTATCTTCTCCTTAACAGAGGTGAAAAATTCTGTTTCTTCCTAGGATGCCTCTGTGTAGATCTGGCATCCTTTATATACTTCCCTTTAATAAAAAAAATTTTTCCTATTCCTTGACCTGCTTCTTTGTGTTTGGAGATTGTGAGGAAACTGTTTCCCCACACATTTTGTTTGACAGCGTTAATTATTTCCCCAGGTTTTATGTCACCGAGGGAGGAAAAAAAAGTGAAATTTGAGGCTTGGCTAGTGAGCTATCTCCCTCCCTCCCCCCTTTTGGTTGGTGCCTTGTTTGCTCTTCTTGTTGTGAAACTTGATTCTGTGCTGATTTGGATCAGGTTTATGTCCTCAGAAGATGGGAACGAGGTCTTCCCTAGTTTATGATTCTAAGCAACCTGCCAGATGTCTTTTCAGCTGGTCTCTCCACTGGAGCCAGAGTCCTCTGTGGCTGGGGGTTTCACATCATGCTGAGCCATAATGAGGTTTGATAATTTATGGTGTGGCAGTGAATCCAGCAGTTGTGAATTTGCAAATGGAAGACTTGGTACAATTTGTTAATTCAGTCTTCCTTTGGGGAATCTTACCTGTTAGAGCTCTTATTTTCCAACTAAATTCATGGGCATAATCCCTGATGCTGCAGAAATCCCTTCTGTAGCTCCAGGGAACTGCTTACTTAGGGCCTTCCAAATGCTAACCTTTTAAAAGGAGGGAAAAGTTGTCTGACAAGAGGTCATCCCAGATGGTCATCTGTCTTGCAATAGCCAGGTGAGGTGACCTGCCTCTGCACAAGGTGCCTCCCTTTCTTCTTTTTAGAGGGACTGGTTGAAGTCAAGAAACGTTGCTGCCTGCTTCTTCTTCTTCTTCTTCTTCTTCTTCTTCTTCTTCTTCTTCTTCTTCTTCTTCTTCTTCTTCTTCTTCTTCTTCTTCTTCTTCTTCTTCTTCTTCTTCTTCTTCTTCTTCTTCTTCTTCTTCTTCTTCTTCTTCTTCTTCTTCTTCTTCTTCTTCTTCTTCTTCTTCTTCTTCTTCTTCTTCTTCTTCTTCTTTTTAAAGCCTCAAAGACCTATTTTCAAATAAGGGCACATTTGTGCTGATCCAGCCCCCTTTTGTGCCCTTGGAGCAAAGGCACCAAATGCACAAATGGCAAGTGAGAAGTGGGGTGGAGGAGGGCCAGTCAGCAAACTGTAGCCAGGTGGAAGTACAGAATACTGAAGGCATGTGTGGATGTTTGGACTTGCTACAGCTCCTAAAGAATAAAGGGGCTTGGGGAGGGAATGTGTTATGTTATGAAATAATTACCTTCTGGGCCTTGCTGTGCTTTTGAAAACAGTTTTTCTTTGGTGGGTAAAATGATTGTTAAGATCCCGGATATTTTCCATGTTAAAAGGATCCTTGTTTTTTTTTTCTTTCCAAGCTTTCAGAAAGGAGCGTAAACCAAGACCAAACTTTATTATGTAGTGTAACTGTGGGCTACATTGTATTTTTTTCTCTTTTTATAAACATTTTTTTTGTTTAGCTAGAAGCTGCCAGGTTGGGTTTGACTCATAGTAACTACATAGACTTCCTAAGCCAGGATAAAAGAGCCAAGGTGCCTACCCCTGGCATAGACAAATGTTTGCCTTCCTGTCCTATTCTTTGTAATAATTCCTTACTTTTCCAAGGGCATCTCTTTGATCTTTTTCATCCATTTTATCAGTTGTCTTCCCCTTCTGTTTCCATCAATATTGCCAAGCATAATTTTGTGTGCTGAAGAAAGTTCATTTAAAAAAATTAAACAATTTCAAATTGTTAAAATTAAATTAAATTAAAATTAAATTCTGGCTAGCAAAGCTGTTTATAGAGGTTGGGGCCAGTTTCAACTTGCTTTAGATCACAGTAGATGGTTTACAGCAGGCATGCCCAACCCTTGTCCTACAGGCCTCATGCAGTCCTAGACACCTACGGTAGTAAGATGGCCTCACAAGTTCATCAACTTTTATTATTATGTGATTTATCTACATTAACTATATTATATATAGTTAATGCAGCCCAGGCAAGCCAAAAGGTTGGACACCTAACTTCTATAGCATCTATAAGTTCAATCAATTGACTGGTTCACTGATAGTAATGATCACCAGCCAATAAATGTTGGCGTGTGCACAAGGTCAAAGACACAAATTCTTTTTATGTAAAAGCATCATCTCTGTGGCTGCAGCTCTGAAATTTAAAAAGAGTAAGCAATTACTATCCCTGAAACATCTAATCTTGGTTCATGCACTGAGCAAAGGAATAATGTTATTCTATCAAACCCTATTAGTTGTGCTCTGATTAGTTAATGCAGACATGTCAAACTCGCGACGTCATGTGACGTCGAGCAACGTATCGGGACTGTTTTGCCATTGCCGGCAATGGGGTGGGCGTGGCTTCTGTGTGACGCGTCCAGCCTGCAGGCCGGCAGTTTGACACCCCTGAGTTAATGTGATAGATAGACCAAGTCAATAATACTTTGCATTCATAAAATAGTAAAAATATTAGCTACAAGTTATTAGCTATGCAGTTCATAGTGTGGTTTGTTGAATCATGATTTTTGACTAAGCTACCACTGATTGGGTTCAGACATTCTGAATCATAACCAATAAATTAACAATTGCAATAATAGCAAATTAACAATTTAAATTTAAATTTAAAATTAATTCTCAAAAGCTGAACCTCAAACTGATCTTTGTACATCATGCAAATGAATTGCTATGTTTATAACTGACTTATTAATTGTATTGTGTGGATATATATTCAATAAGTTTTGTGGCTGGATGGGAAATTCAGCCTAGATTTCCCTGGTTTAATTTGGAGAAGTTTGTACAGTCCAAGTGGCTAAAATAATGGTTGGCTAGTTTGTGGCTTTATGTATGTTGGAAATAAACCTGTATGATAAGTTTGTAGTTCTGAGAGTTCTCCAAACTCAGACAGCTGGATTAATTTAAACTATAGTTCACCTAACCATAGATTAATAAGTTATATGAACATATCCACTGTAATCATGATAATTAACTGGCTCTTTTTGCCTTCCTTATAGAAATATGAACTGTTGCCCCTGTTCCTATCTAAGAATAGACTGCTTTCAGCTGTTAGCATCATTCATGAGATTATGAACTCTTGGAATACAACCAACTTCTCTCTTTCAAGAGAAGATACCTACTTATTTTGCAATGCATTAATTACTGCTTATGGATTAATTTTTGTATGTGTCTAGTATACCAGTCCTTTTAGAAATCTTCCTTAGTCCTTTCTGTTAAGTGATTTCCCAAAAAAAAAGGTAGCTTCTTGTAGAGATGTCTATAAAATATCCTTTGTTTTATCTGAAAGAATTGCATATATGAGAGTAATCAAACAGAAACAACTAATCCCTCTTTATTTGCAAG